CCGCCCCAGCTCCTGGAGCCGCAAAGGGAGAGACAACGAAGGGGAAGTGGAACCTGCAACCCCGGGGACATCTACTGATCCAGTAGTCCCCACTCTCCGCCGAACCACAGATGGAAATCCGAATGGAAGAGACTACCACCCAGAACGAAGGCACCGATCCATTCAAAGACGTCCGCCGCTGGAGGTGAAATTCAAAGGGGAGCCAACACGCTTGGGATTCTTCCTAACCCAAGTCCTCAACTACATGGAGGAATACGGGCAGGACATCCCCAGCGACAAAGCCCGTATCCGGATTGTGCAATCTGCCTTAGACGGACCGGCCGCAGATTGGGTGGTGAACTTGCACGACTCCAATGCCCCAGAGCTCAACGACTTCAATCGTTTTATGTCCTCACTGAGAAGACGATTTGAGGACCCCCTGGCTGACCGCAAAGCCCGTGAAAGGATAAAAACAATGAGGCAAGGCAAACGCCCGGTAGCCGAATATACACAAGAATTCCGGGCCATTGCCAGCAAATTAAACTGGCCAGAAGACATCCTCCTTAGCCATTTCAAAGACGGACTAAATTATGACCTATATGATGCTTGCCTGCCCCGAGGGGACCCACATCAACTAGAAGAATGGTACGTCTTGGCAGAGGAAGCAGAGATCGACATATTGAGGAGGCACCGCCGAGGAAAACAATGGAGCCGCTCACCGCCTGAGCTGACACGCCACGGCCAAGAAGCAACCGGGGTGTTTCAAGTGCGGGAAAGAAGGGCACCAAGCTGTAGAATGCCGCTCAAGAACCACCCAACAGAACCCAAACAGATCACCGGCCAGAAACTCCGGAAAGCCTCCAGCTAAGCCAAAAGAACCTGCCATGAGAATGATGGAAGCTGTGGAATTCCCCACCTCTACTCAGCAGGGGGAAAGAACCCCAGCCTACACCGCAGGGCCGGTGGATGCCTCAGATGACAATTCGGAGGGCGAACCCCTGGTAAGTGGACGCATCGCACCCATCCTAAAGACAGTGACTATATTCATCCCCCCCATGGCCGAAGCCGTGAGGGTGAGAGCGTTAATAGACTCTGGCTGCACCCGCTGCCTCATTAGCCCGACGCTAGTAGGGAATCTGGGCATTCCGTCGAGGAGACTGGAACAACCAATCTCATTTGGCC